GGGGGGGGTTTTTTTTTTTTTTTTTTTTTTTTTTTTTCTCCCCATAGTTTATTATTCCCTGCCTTTTCTCAACACACTGGAGCAGAAAGTGGAGTAAGCACTAATGTGCGCTCCTGCGGGTGGCATCCCAGGCCAGGCACCTCTGTCAGCACCCAGGCCTGCTCGGGGCATCTGCCCACCTTGGCTGCTGCTCCCGGGAGAAAGGAAGAGAGGCATCATCCCTTCTTTAAAAGCAGATGCAGAGAGGTTAGAGCACAGCCTTTTTCATCCATCCCTGCGATGAGCGAGTGTGAGGTGTGTGTGTCTATCTGGCCTGAAACTCTCCCATCTGTCAGGGCTTGAAACTGTCAGAAGAGCGAGGAGAAGTGGAGGGGTTTGAGAAGCCAGGAAAAAACAAAAAAAAGATCCAAAATTTATATCTTTTCTTCTTCCTCTCTTTGCTAATGAGACCTGTCAGTCCCCTGGTATTTCCCTTTTCTGTGCTCCTTAAACACGTTCTACTGAGAGATGCTAGAGCAATAACCTTTTATATTGACTGTTACTGGTATAACAAGTCCCTTGGGTCAGGTGTGTGTGACACACTTGGAGTTTTACTATCAAGTAGATACTGTGTCCTGTCTTTGATAAGAACTGTAGATTTCTACACTGATTTTGAATTCATATCTGATTTACTTTTAATCCTCTTATACAGAAATTGGTTTTGAAGTGATTTTAAGAAACAACTTTTATATCAAGCTGTGCTGTTCTAGGCAGTATGCCAGTTGTGCTGGTTTACTGCATCTGTAACCTCAATGCTTTGTTAAGCCTAACTAACATTGAATATTTTCTTTTTATTGTGGGTTGGGAGGGGCTGGAATCTCTGGGGAAGGGAATGTGACGTGTATTTTTTTTTCTCCTAACACAGGCAGGTGAACTGTGAATAGCTTTCTTTTTTTTTTTTTTTTTGCCTTTTTTTCCCCCTCCTCTGGGTAACCTAAAAGTGTGGTTTTTGGTTTTTATTGTAACCTGTAAACTGCTGTATTTGAATCACCTGCCATTCTCCCAAAGCCCAGCTTCCAGGATGTTATAGTGAGTCTTAATATGATGCTGCAGGGGGGAAGACCCTTTGCCCTTGTTTTTAACTCTTCAGCCACCTGAAACCAGAGCAAGGCTAATTGGGGAAGGGGTTCATTTTCTCCTGTGGAAGAAAGGTCTTGTGACTACAGAGAAAAAATTTGGAGAGACAGACTCTGTTCCTGACTAGCTGTGTAACTTTGGGCCAGTCACTAAACCTTACCGTGCCTCAGTTTCCCCATCTGTAAAATGGGGGCAGTTTAGCCTGGATTTGTGAGGTTATTGTGAGGTTTAGTTCACGTTTGCTAAAGCACTTTTAGGTCTCTGGCTGGAGGGTGCTATGGAAGGTGGAATGTTATGTTGAAATACCCGATGGCATTCTGTGGTAACAGCCGAAGCAGCCCAGGGAGCGGTGTTTGGAATTAACCTCTCCAATATGGCCATCGACATCTGGTTGTGTTTTTCAGCCTGGCAGGTGCATTGAGGGTCTGGGGGCAACTGTGTCAGAAACCAGCCTGACCTTAGGCTGGAATCCACTGGTTGCTGTCCCACCTAACCTTGCTGCGGTGCTTCGCTGCCCTGCTTGGATCACTGAAACTGTTTTTCACTGGTTTCCCATACAAATGAACCTCGGTGTGTGGTTGTGAGACCGAAGGGAGCTGTGGAAGCACTAGAGCTAAAGCTGTGTCGGCTGGGCTGAGCGCAGCTTCTGGAGAGTTTGCGGGGCAAGAAACCTTACGCAGTTGTCTTTTCATCTTTGAAATCAGTTTGACTTAAAATGGAGACTTGTAAGTTGCGTGTGTTTATCTTGCTGAAGAGATCAACTTCTTTTGGCCCTGCTAAGAGGAGGAAAAGCTGTAGTGTCGGGATTGCCGGAGGGAGGTGAGAAGATGCTTCTGGCACTACCGCTTGTTGTCTGACACCTGCAAACTGTCATCATGTGCCTCAGTTTCCCTCTCCAGGGAGTCTTTAACCTACCTCACTGCTGGTTGAGGCTTGCCTAAGTGACGCTTCTGGCACGCGTGGAGAGCCCTGGGCTCAGGGTGCTGCAGAGCGGTGCTGGTGGCGCACAGCGCCAAAGGGGAGGCTCGTCTGCCATTAGTGCTTAATGGAGATCGTTACACGCTTACTTCCCGAGCAAGATGTGGAGCGTGTCCTGGATTTATCTGGTTTGTGATGTGCTGGGATGCTACACAGATGCTACTCTGCCAAATAATGACTTTTGGTGCCTGCTGCCACTGTGGATGTCCAAAATGCCTGTTGTTTGGTTTCAGATGCGGTTTTAGGGTAGCTGCATGAGCGACCTGGGAGGGTGGCGTGTGGGAGAGCCGGGGGCGGGGGCTGGCATGGTGCTGGAGGAGGGACCGGACTGGCACCATGGCATGTCCCCAGGAGAGAGTGGGTGCCTGGGGAGGCTCATCCTGGGCAGGTTTTGTCTCTAAAGGCCTCAGCTCTGTGTGCAGCCCCCCCCGGGCCCAGCGCTGCCCCTGGGGACGGTGGGGGCTGGGCTGGGGGACGCTCCGCTGGGTCGACAATTATTTGATATTTTTTCTCCCTTGTAAACTTCTAACTCCGCTTTCTTTTTTTTTTTTTTTCCCATTTAAAATTCTTGCAGTTACGCTAATAAAATTTTTACCGTAATTCTGACCTGTGTTGCGATTGTTTCTCGCCCTTGAGCTTGTAAAGAACCAGAAACAG